CTGTTTAATATTTTTCTCTTTGTTATTTTTACTATTTGGACTTTAGAATTCTACGAAATTTAAAGAAACTCATGTATCTACGTATTTGTATGTTACGATGAATTATTATTTGGTCTCTGCTGGAATAATAAACATGTATCTCGTTTACAAATAAGTTAAGCAGCTACTTTATTATTTCAAAGCTTTTGTTCTCTTATTGAGGAATTCTAATACGTATGTGAAGACCTCTTAAAAATGTTTAATATTCGTGTGAAAGGATTTATTGGCTACATTAGAATTTTCTAAGCTATTTCAAACATTTTTTTTATCATTAAAATTCGAGTATACTAGCATACAGAAAAGAAGCTTTACAAAGTGTCAACTTGTAATTCAAATATTTCTGTCGGAGGTACAGGTATTAAGTTTAAGATGCACAAATCTATGTTGAAGCATTTTTTGAATTTTCATCGTAAGTCAATAGCGATTGACGCATCGCAAACTTTGTCAGTCTCATCCGAATTTTCAGGTCATTGAGAACTCTCAGGTAATCGGCAAGGACTCTCATTGAGGACTCCCAGGTAAAGGCCCTCTCCCTCTCGCTCTGCCGATTGCAAAAGGTATAGAGTTAACGGATAGAAAAAGGAAAAAGACATTCTCGGTCAACATAAAAGAACAAAGAGTCGATCGCTAGAGAGACTTTTGTAACTGAATGTGAGTGTGCGAGAGTGTATAATTTCGAAAAAACTTGAACATTGTGCCACACAGCTATCACACATACATTAATTATAAATATGTATACCTGTTATTTCACAATATCAAAAATAAAAGAATATACACGCGACTTCGTATGAAAAACGCATATCCAGCAGAAAGAAAATAATATACAACTTAAACTCTTAAAAGAAAAACCTTTAGATCGAATTATGTATGTAATTATAGTTAAAGGTATTACAAATGAAAATTTAACAAAGAAATATAAGAAGAAAGCAAAATGCAAATCCACTAGGTAACAGAATAGCAGGAAACACAAAGTAGTAGAGAAAATTAGAACGATAGTTAAAATGGTTCTGAAAAGAGTGAAAGCAAATTATTGTTACTTGTTCATTTACAATCAGGACTACAGACAATGTAAGAAAGATTCTTCCTTTCACCGAAAACAGTAAATCGTCGCTTATTGCTTTCCAACACATGTGAGAAAGTAAGTTCCAATTATCGTCACTCATTGTTCGTTAATCGTCTGTTATTGCCCTGTAATTCGAGTGAGAAAGTAAGTTTCCATTACTATCCTTCACACTCTAATGTATTGTTCGGCATAAATGAAATAATTATTTTTCAGAGAATAATGTACTATTATCAAATATATAGCAGACTGAAATATTAAGAAAACAGAAATATTTAGGAAGTACGAAATTGTACTTTGGTCAAACTACAGCATGGACTGATGAATTGTCATTACTTATTTCAGCAACGTCAGGAGTGTAGAAAATTTAAGAAGCCTCTCCGTCTCAACGCAAAATTATCGTCTCTCATTGTTCGTAAATCGTCTTTTATTGTTCTTCAACTCGTGTGGGGAAGTAAGTTTCCCTTACAATTCTTCACAATCTAACGTATTGTTATCCATAATTGAAATAATTACTTTTCATTGTATAATGTAATATTTTCAAATATATAGCAGACGGAAATATTGAGAAAACAGAAATATTTAGGAAGTCCGAAATTGTACTTTGGTCAAACTACAGCATGGACTGATGAATTGTCATTACTTATTTCTGCAACGTCAGGAGTGTAGAAAATTTAAGAAGCCTCTCCGTCTCAACGCAAAATTATCGTCTCTCATTGTTCGTTAATCGTCTTTTATTGTTCTTCAACTCGTGTGGGGAAGTAAGTTTCCCTTACAATTCTTCACAATCTAACGTATTGTTATCCATAATTGAAATAATTACTTTTCATTGTATAATGTAATATTTTCAAATATATAGCAGATAGAAATATTAAGAAAACAGAAATATTTAGAAAGTGTGAAATTGTACTTTGGTCAAACTACAGCATGGACTGATGAATTGTCATTACTTATTTCTGCAACGTCAGGAGTGTAGAAAATTTAAGAAGCCTCTTCGTCTCACGGCAAAATTATCGTNGAAATTGTACTTTGGTCAAACTACAGCATGGACTGATGAATTGTCATTACTTATTTCTGCAACGTCAGGAGTGTAGAATATTTAAGAAGCCTCTTCGTCTCAACGCAAAATTATCGTCTCTCATTGTTCGTTAATCGTCTTTTATTGCTCTTCAACTCGTGTGAGAAAGTAAGTTTCCATTACTATTCTTTACAATCTAATGTATTGTTATCCATAATTGAAATAATTATTTTTCATTGTATCATGTACTATTTTCAAATATATAGCAGACAGAAATATTAAGAAAACAGAAATATTCAGAAAGTCTCCAATTGTTCTTTGTTCGATATATAGAATGGACTGACCAATTGTCATTACTTATTTCTGCAACGTCAGGAGTGTAGAATATTTAAGAAGCCTCTTCGTCTCACGGCAAAATTATCGTCTCTCATTGTTCATTAATCGTCTTTTATTGTTCTTCAACTCGTGTGGGGAAGTAAGTTTCCCTTACAATTCTTCACAATCTAACGTATTGTTATCCATAATTGAAATAATTATTTTTCATTGTATAATGTAATATTTTCAAATATATAGCATATAGAAATATTAAGAAAACAGAAATATTTAGAAAGTGTGAAATTGTACTTTGGACAAACTACAGCATGGACTGATGAATTGTCATTAGTTATTTCTGCAACGTCAGGAGTGTAGAATATTTAAGAAGCCTCTTCGTCTCAACGCAAAATTATCGTCTCTCATTGTTCGTTAATCGTCTTTTATTGCTCTTCAACTCGTGTGGGGAAGTAAGTTTCCCTTACAATTCTTCACAATCTAATGTATTGTTATCCATAATTGAAATAATTATTTTTCATTGTATAATGTAGTATTTTCAAATATATAGCAGACAGAAATATTGAGAAAACAGAAATATTTAGGGAGTCCGAAATTGTACTTTGGTCAAACTACAGCATGGACTGATGAATTGTCATTACTTATTTCTGCAACGTCAGGAGTGTAGAAAATTTAAGAAGCCTCTTCGTCTCACGGCAAAATTATCGTCTCTCATTGTTCGTTAATCGTCTTTTATTGCTCTTCAACTCGTGTGAGAAAATAAGTTTCCATTACTATTCTTTACAATCTAATCTATTGTTCGGCATAATTGAAATAATTATTTTTCATAGAATAATCTACTATTTTTGCATATCCAGCAGATAAAAATATTAAGAAAACAGAAATATTTAGGAAGTTTGAAATTGTACTTTGTTCAATCTACAGCGTGGACTGATGAATTGTCGTTACTTATTTTTGCAATGTTAGGAGTGTAGAAAATTTAAGAAGCTTCGTTTCACCGAAAAATCATCAATCATCTCTCATTGTTATCTATCTCGCGAGAAAATAAGTTTCAGCTATTATTTTACCGCAATCTAATTTCTTATTTCTCGCGATTCCTCCAAAAGAGTAGAAATTTTTGGTAACAGTTTTTTTCTTCTAATGCTCATTTAAAGCGTGAGAAAGAAATCTATTCGACGATGAAAAAGAAATGCTTCGTTAGTGTGAAGAAATGGAATAGGTTGTTAGGAAACGTTAGCAAGTTAACGTAAGTTCAGTCCCACGAGTACCTGTTTTATGTTCAGTGACAATGATTTATGTGGCCAGAGTTTAAAAACCCAGGGGTCCAATTAACATGCCCTCGGGTGCTAGGAAAGCAGAAAAGTTCTGCAGGTATATTTCTGAAGGAACTTTCGGGGAACCATGTTAGGCTTGTCCGTTTGAATGGCCGCTGGCTACATTGAAATCGGATAACTAATAAGGAAATAATACAATAGTAAGTGCAATTCGATGAAAAATTATAATTCTCTTCACGACTCACGTATTGTGTTGGTTCAAATTATCTTTGATTCTTTAAACAAGTTTAGTAAATCACCGACAAGTTACTCGAACTATTCTTCAAATTGCTTCAACTATTCTCAATGATCATATCTAATCAATTGCCCACGATAAATAGATTTGGTCTATTGCCGATACGTAAACTCGCCTGGAACTTGTAGGGTCCCTACCAACGTTGCAAGTTTCTCACGGTTCTGGGATCGTGAATGGCACGAGGGAAGCTTATAAAAAGGGCCCAAAGATTCCAGTCCCATTCAGTTGCTTGTTGGCAACCGTATCGTTGGTATATCCTCAGTATTTCTCTTTCGGATCGTGTATGAATATTGCAAGAAAAAAGTAAACGTGTGACGTTAATTTCGTTAATTTCAAGCTTCCAACGTTTTATTCGAACGCGTTAAATTTTAATTGGTGATGCAGCGACGTGCAGCAGTATTTTTAAATTTTAGTACCCATAAAATACTCGACTATAAATGAGAAGATAATGATAAATTCATGTTACAGAAGATAATGAAAAATTTATATTACAGAAAATTCATGAACGTGTGACTTTGCCTGTGTTAAAAAGTTGCTTCGTTTCTTAACAAAAACGAGTGAAAGTTAAAGTTTAATTGGGTGATGGGGTACTTATTATATGAGCGATGTGTAGTATATAGTATTTTTGAATTTAAGCTAAAATATGCAAGCCAAGGTAGGTAATTTACAGAAAATGTATGAATTTATTAAATGACTTTACTTGGGTTCAGATTTGCTTTATTTATTAATAAAAGAGACAGGACGCGTTATTTTGAAAGTATGGAGTGATTATTACTAGTTAATAATTAACCAAGCATGATTTGTCGCTTTATGTGTATGCTAAAATTTTTAAAACGCTAAAAATCTTTTGTCTGTTAAAATAGAAGTGAGAATTCACTTGCGAAATTGTGACGATACAACGTACATCGACCCCTCACTCGATTCTGATTATTATTTTGACAAAGAGTGATAACGAAACCGAAAGAAAGTGTGATTATTACTTACCAGATGGATGATTGGACTGTAGATTGTAATCGTCGACTTGTAACGTGCTGTTTGGCCCTGTTCTGGTGAATCTTACCACGTGATACTGGTTATCGTTCACTTTTACACCAACTTCACCGATTGGATGATCGTTCGTGCCCATATTGTAAACGGCGAACACATTTCCTTCCACCTGGAATTAAACAATAATTTACAAATATTTCAAGTGTGTTTAAAACATTGTGTTAAGTTCTTATTTCAAAAAAATGGTCAATTTAATTTTAATCTCTTATTTTAAGCTCTTATTTCTAAATATATTGTTTTAAGCTCTTATTTTTTTTTTTTGTAAAAAGATGTCGGAAGTGAATAAACATTTGTGATAGTACATTAATTTCGAGAGTCGTGGGGATAAATTTTCAAAAATTCTATTTTCGTACTTATTTCTTTCTTTTCCTTCTTCTTCTTCTAGTTTTTCTATTTAATTCTACTTTTTCAGAAATTCGTGAGTAAATCAGTGGATATCTATCATGATTTTACGAATTTCCATCTGACATCATTCAACATTCTATGTGACACGATTTTGAGTTTTAGTTATGATAAAAATTCTTTAATGGTATCAATAAATTTGTCAAAGTTGTTAACTATATTTTTTAAATTACATGTTTGAGAAGTGATGATTGTTACAAAGATTAGCTGCGTTTTATGTCAGAATTTTTATCGGCAATATATTCAAAGATTATTGTAGTCTACTTTTTGTCATAAATTGTCAATTACACTGATGATTTCAATAAACATTGAAATATTAAAGTATTTTAAGTTATTCTTATATTCTAAGTTATCTTTTTTGCTTTTTATGGTATTTTATAAGTTTTACTTCTATTAGTATTTCACTAGCTTTACTTCTACTAGTATTTTACAAACTTTTACTTCACAAAATTTTTACTTTTTTTTTCTTCCGATTTAATTATTTCAGATACAAAATTTAATCCTGGCGTAAATGTTATTCATTATTTTTGCGAAAATCATGTATAATATTACTCAACTGTGTAATAAATTGATTAAATATTCAATTTTTATATTCATTTAGATTGGAATTGTCATAATTCAAATTGTCATCTTTTAAACACATTTAAACTACACTGTTTCCATGTACTGAGCGTGTTTTATAAAATAATTAAAAATATTTCCTTTCACATATTTAAACTATAATTTACTAATCATTGTCACTTAAAATTCAAGTCATATTACATTTAAATGATCATTTTACATTTTTTCTGTTATTAATAATTGTCATAAAATATTGTCGCATGTAAATTTCTTCACAACATTCAAATTTTAACTATATTCAAATGTTAAAATATCATACTGTTAAAAATATAAATATATAAAAGAATTTGGAATTTTATACGTAGAGTCACACCATGTACTTTAACATCTATAACAAATAACATGTGATCGATATGATCTACATGTAAAATTATAAATTTTCTTCTCCTATAACATACACGCAACAATTCAAATTATTCTGACATTAGTAGCCAATTAATATTTACAATATAAATATAACAAATTAATTAGCTTACGAAGTACAATTCGAATTATTACTAACAATTTCAATTTCAAGATAGTCGTTGCTCGAGGCAGATTCTATTCTGAGAAGGACGGCGTCATTCACGCTTGTTACGAAGCCCAAGGCCACTGTATCCCTCTTCATTTCCGGTCTCTGATTTGGCGGGAACGTGTACGTGATAATACCTCTTCCTGCTCCGAACTCGTAAGCTGCGGCTTCTATAACAAAACAATTGCACGCGATAAGTCAACGCGGTGTAAGATTAATAGAAGGTTAATTAAATTAAATTAGAGCATGAAACCTGTATTAAATATGAAGTATCTCAAGCAAACTGTTCGTTGAAAAATTTTTAACAGGTGAAACAAGTTTCTGCTAAAATTCTGTTTCTTTAGTTGCACCCATAGAAATAGAGATTTGCACAAAAACCTGCAATAATCTCGATATCGATATCGAATTAATTTATTGAAAAATTACAGCGTGACAGGGCTAAACTGAATCGAATGAAATATATTGAAAAATAAATTAAACAAATTGAATGATTTTAGCAAATTGGTTTGGAATAAAAATAATTGAATAAATTAGATACCAAAAAAATTGAGAAATATATTTTTTAGTATTCATTCATTCATTTTGTGATTAATGTTATTAAGTAGCTGCAGTAATTTTCTTTTAATGATATTGAGCAACATGTAGTAGAAAGATAAATGGCTTTGAAAGAATAATATCTCTGTTTAAAAACCATGACGTAGTTTATTTCCATCCAAAAGGTCGTTCATTTATTCAGCTAATTGCAGCGATTTTTTCCATTCTAGTCAAATAATATAAGTGAGGCTAAATGCGTTACTATTATTTTAATCGCTGTTGATTTCGACCTGGTGTGCAACGATGCAGATACAGTGAAAAAATTGAGTTACCATAGATCTTGCAGCCACCGTGATTACATTCGCGTTTTTCTTATTTGCATATGAATTTAAAAGCCATAGCAATTTGCACGTTCACCGCGCGCGCAAAAAACGTTCGATATGCAATAAAAATTGGTTGTATTTGCTGAATTTAAGCATTTTTAATGGGCGATAAATATTTTAGACATTTCTTTCTTAATAAATAATTAAAAATTCAAACTACTAAAAACGGGACAATTTTTCTTAACTTCATGGAATTTAATAGAAAATGAATTAGGTATATCAATTTGTATTTGATAACCTGGATTTTTAGATTAATAAATTAAATTTCCTAAATAATGAGAAAATGACAAAATAAATTTATTTAATTTAAGTATTATTAGCTAGAAAATTCGTTAATAACAAATTGAGACTTTTACGACTGTCCTTCGTTCAAAATCCGATTTAAGACTTCGAAAAATTTTCTTTAAGTTTATTTCAAAAAACGATACTCTTAATATACAAAAAGATACAAACTGTCAAGAAAAAAGTACGTTTAGAATTGTATTGAATTTTACAATACTATTTGGTACCAGGCACAGAGAAATATCCAAAGTATTCAAAGATTGCTTCGACAAATAAATAACAGGATTACCAAGATTTTTAAAACATGTTATCTGTTAGAATATTCGGGTCACGAAGCATATGTTTTTACAGTAATAACGTTAGTACCATTAAACGCGTGTGCTTTAGATTCAGGTAATTAGATACGGAGTACCTCATAAAACGAGAACTTTATTTCGTTTCGTCACGCAGCCTTGAATTACAAGCATTTCATAGAAGAATTTTCAATATAAAATAATAGAAAATAGAAAAGGAAAGCTTTCTCTGATTAATTAAATTGCTAGGACAGTGCATGATTGGATATTTTTAAAGCGGACATGTCATTTTATCTAGATTAGTATAAATTTAATTAATAAGATGTCTCAATTACAGACGCAGATACAAATTGCTTTGCAAAATATATTCTGCACAAGTTCAATATTATATTCATCATTTTGAAAACATTTTCAATTAAAACGAGAAAAATCTGAAAAGACGGGAATTAAAAAAAAAGCTTCAAAAGTGAAAATTGTAAAATTAAGAACTTCGTAATTAATTCTTCACGCTGCAATTTTCTTTTCTCGTCCTTTTGTATCATTGATTCTTTTCCATCGACGAACTAAATTAAAACTCGTCTTCCTGAGAAATAACAAGTGACTATCAACTCTCCATCGCGTTTACGTCAGGCCTATTCCCCTTTCTACCTTCGTATGGGACTCTTTTTTTACCTTCGTTACACGTCGGCCCAGTGAAACTGGTCATGTCGCAGTCGCACGTGTAACTATTCCATTGTTGCACGCACGTGCCGTGATTCGAGCAAAGATCGTGCGTGCACTTTTTGCCAGGATGCAGATTGGCGTACATGTCGCAGCCGGATTCCACCAGAGAGCTGGGAACCACCGCGTCGGAAATCAGGTTAGTGCTCTCGCCACTGAGGTCCAACGACGCGAGACACCCCTCGAAACCGTGTCTGCTCAGTATTTGCTTTGGTAGCTGACCGTATTGCGATTTCTCCACACCGCCTGAAATTACGCAAACCTCGCGTTAGTCAGATGGAATGTTACGGGCTTAATTGGACGGTTAAATAAATCGATCGGTTGCTCGATAGTTTCTAGTACACAGTTCAAAAGTATTCAGAAACTCGTTCCTCTTTAAATAAAACGTATAGGTACAGGTGATTTGCTGTAGTATTCGTATCGTATAGAAGATTTTTATGCGTAATAATTGCATGTTACATTCAATATGTTATAACTTTGTAATTAGAGGCAATCTACTTGGTCTCATTTTAACACTAGAACTACCGACTACCAAAGCATAATATTTGTGGCAAAGAAATTAAAGGTGCAAGATACAAGTAGACATTAATAATACGATACTTCTGTTAATATATTTTATTAAAAATCACTCAGGTATCTAAAAATACGCTGTTATAATAAATGGATAAAATTTCCACAGAAAATTATAAATTGGTCATTTTTATCACTCTGGTAGTTCTAGTGTAAAACAGTAAAGCCTCTATCTCTTGACTACATTTTTACAAATGTTACTGAAGAAATGAAACGCTTACTCGTTCCACGAAATAAAAATTATTATTAGACTGCGGATGTTTATGCAAATGCATATTTTTTATAGAAGAAAAATAAAAACGCGAGTAGAAATTCATTGCGTCGTTTAAACATGCTAGAAATCTATTTTTTATTGTACATACTTTGCATAATGCATACGTTTTGCATATTAATGTTCAAAAGTTTTTTATACAACAACGTTTCCAAAATTTTACACACAATAATTCACACCGTTTGAAAAACGGGAAAAACTTAAAACAGCCTACATGTTGCTAACATATTTTGTGTATTTTACGCGCGCAAACATCCGCAATCTAATAAGTATAACAAACACCTTATTTTGGATATTTTATATGCTTTCGCGTAATTTCCGTGCAAATTTGTAACTTTAAATTTTTTATAAACGTATAAACGTCTGCATTGTAATAATACATAACAAGGGCGCGTTTAAAATTGCAATAACTTTGAAATCCCGTCTTTCTTAAATTTTTAATCGTTGTTATTTCCATGAGATGTTCAAATGTACAAAATATTAGAGAAAATAAATTTATATTTATCTCGCTAATTGTTAAGTTACTGAACTCAAAAATATCAAGTGTATGAATCATAAACTAGTTAGACATAGAATTATCAAATGCTTCGATTTAATAAAGACTTTTTATCTTTCAAATAAATCTAGCTACTGGAAAAAAAAAAGAAACGTGATCCGAGCCTGCAAAATTTTTTATCCAATCTCACATTACTTTTTCAACAGTAGCAGAAGTGTATAAAAAAACAAAAAAAGGATTAAAATGCAACTCGGTAACTCGCATTTGCTATTTTTGATCTTTGCTTTTATCATTGATCTCGTACGAATTTAGATTTAGATAAATAAACCTGGTCGAGCTTAAACAGTTATGCAAATAAAATTACATGCTGAAACTAGCACTATGAAAATATATTCTAAAACCACGGAATATTTCGTGTATTCCCTGTCAACTTTTTCTTTTTAGTCTTCGCTCAACGTCAAACATTGAAGAACAATAAGACACTGTCGAAAAATAATAAGAGACTGAAGATCACATACAGTATAGTAAAAATCTTTCTGAAATTATAATCAATCCACTAACTACGACTTGATACGTCAAATAGTGAAGAACAGTAAGAAATTATAATACTATAAGATTGTTTTGTGCAGTAGAATTTACAACAAATCTTTCAAGAAATTTGAAAATTGAATTTCAATGTTCAACGAATGTATTTTTGATTATTTTTGTCGTTCGATTCTCGGTGACGTCAAAATCTGAGTCGATCGACGATAGATTGGAGAAATGCCCGTATCCCTGGGAAGATGTTCCTCGTGCGTTCGAATCGTCGGAAATCAGAAATCGATTGGCCAAACGTTATATACGTCGGAAGATCACAAGTATCGAGTGAACGGTATAGGAAGTCAACATCAATAACGTAGAATCGTCGAAGAATGGAAATTCTGGCAGCAATAGTTGCAGAAAATTAATCGTGTCGGAAAAATGATCGATCGTTTGATTCGGGGAAGGAAGCGTTCAACCGTTTTACAATTTCGTAGATTTCACGTGTCTCAGAGGTACGAGGAGAGATCATCGAGGCAAATGCAGCGAGCCGTTTCTCAATATAAAGTCCACCATTTTGAATGTTGGACATTTTATTTTCGACAAATAATTCTCTGAACGTTCTGCCCGCTCTTCAAATTTTCCTATGTACGAGTATTTTTACGAATATCTAATTGGATGATTAGTGTGTAATGTTTCTATATAAATATTACACGATTTATATAAATTTATGTTTTTATAATATTATAAAATTTATTTCGTCAGTCAAATATTCAGAAAATATTCTTTGCACCGACATTTGGACATTTCATTGTTACAAAGTCTTATTTAAATTTTATAAAATTTTATTGCTACACATTTTGTAAATATTACTTCCATTTAAATTATATTTCCATTCACTTTGATTGTTTGAGAATTTTTAAAGCTATATAAAGTATGTAATAAATGGAATTACGATTGCAAATTTGATTTTGATTTCACTTCTTCCTATCTAGCACGACAGAAAATTAATTAATTTATTAATTACCATAAGAAGTATAATAATTCAAATATTATGCATTTATAAATTTCCTATAATAAATACACAAAAATCCGTAGTCCAGTAATAACATTCAGACAAATAAGATGTGATAAAACGAACTATTGAACAAACTGATTTCACTTATCAGAATACCAAATTCTGATACGTATAATTGAAGTAACTCGGCTTGAATTCAAATAATCAGGTATTAAAAGTAAAATAAAATCTTATTTATACAATTAAATTATATAATTAAATTACTATATTTAATTATAACTAATAAGAGTGGCCTTTTCATAGAACGTATGTCGATTTTTTTGTCAACGATCGTATCTGACGTTTTCGGGAAAGACCGCTGGTACAGGAAACCTCTCAGTGAAACAGCGATTACCAAGAATACCATAAAATTTTATTTCCGAATATCGAGATTATAAAACTCCCACGAGTCACTTATCACCCGGAACTCGTTATCATTCGTTTCATCAAGTGATTCAATTGGCCAGTATCGTTAATAAAAAGCGAGGCCACGGAAAAGATGTCAGACCGACAAGGTGACTGAAACTGCTTATCAATCTAATCTCGTCTGTGACGGAATACTGTGGTTATGCGCCCGACGCGTTGCTGGAACCAGGTTCGATTTACGAGTCAAATCGTTTTGAATTTTAATGGTGGCCAGTCGCAGAACACTCGTTTTCATTACATCACGTTGTTCAACCAAGTTTTCATCGATTTCGCGCCGAAATAATCAGCTTCGTGATCATATTTTCGTGACGTTGTTGCAATAAGAGTGGAATTTCTAATAAAAGAAGAAAGTGAAATTTCGCGATTTATGATAAAATCGTCCAGTGTACCGGACGTTCTAGGGTATTGAGAAAATTGTAGAAAGTACAGGCCTGAGAAAAATTAAATTACACCGACTCGATAAGTGTCTGACAAAAGTAACAATGAGGAGTTGGTCGATGCCGGTTTTGATCAGCGTTTGCTTCGTCGTTTTTTCGACTCAATTGCCAGTAACGTTGTCAAGAATGACATTGAACGATGTACCCGATAAGTGGAGAGTCGTGTCACCTGGCCAACCGCCGCAAATCGAGTTCCGTTTGTTCAAGAGTCACACACCTGAGGGCAAGAATTGGACGAGCAGCGTGGAATATATAATCTCGTCTAATAACAACGCGTTAAAGAGAGTCGACAACGAAATGGAAGAAAACGATAAAACGGGAAAGGAAAGCAATAAGAAAATAGAACTCGGCTTCAGGACCATTATTCGCCCGTATAAGTTAAAATGTCCCTTGGGTCAGAAAAGGGATCACTTTGGAAAGTGCAGAGATGTCTTGTGAGTATCCTAATATTTTCTTTTTCCAATACTTTGAAATTTCATCAACAGCGAATGACCATTAGTAGACTGTGATTTTGATTGTACAATGATACAAAGAAATGCAAAAATATTCAAAACAGACAAAGGTCAAATGTCAATAAGTAAAACGAGTTTCTGTTTAAATTTCATGTTTTCAGTTCGGTTCGCAAAAAATATATAAATGTTTGCAGTGTATCGTAGTTATGTGTATTGATAGATGCAGAAAAAGAGTTTTAAGATATCCACAGAGATGAAGAAAATATTTAAACAGTCAGTGTTATATATTATATTAATAAACTTATTCGATGGAATATTCAATGAAACTGTCTCTAATTTTCAACGTTTTTTTTTTTTTTTTTTTTATAAACTAAGACTTTTATAGACTAAGACGACTATAGTTTAAGATGACTAGATCGCGGATTTTTATGCAAATTCACAGTTTTACAAACATACCTGTGGAAATGGGGCTTAAGAAAGAAAAATTTTTTTAAATATGATAAGTTAATTTCATTAAATATTCTACTTTGAATTCATAGATGTCCAAAGTTTAAAGATAATTATTGTTACTATATGTCATAGACTAATGTTTGTTTCTTAGATATATTTTTTTGCACGTCGTCGTTATCATTCGTTTATTACGACGTTCTCTTAGTCAACATATTAGTCAAATCTTATTTGTGATGGAATATATTATTTAAACGCCAAGGCGTAATATACTACTTAAACGCCAAGGCGTAATATACTATTTAAACGCCAATGCTGACCAACTTGCCACGCATTCAATTGTAAACAGTTCGTTTTCATTATTTCACGTCTGTCAGCCAGACTAATATTTTACAAGTTCAGATTTTCTCCAGCGTATAATTACCGATCGTCTTCTTAACATTATTGTGGAATTTTTAATAATAAAAGAAAATAATAAAAAAGTGGAATTTAACGATTCGTAATAAAAGTTGACTAATTGACAACAGTATTAGGGATACGTGCAGCATATTGGAGTTCCAGGGAATTGACAAAAATTAAAGAAAGAAAATTAGGTTAAAAATAATCTGGAGTGACTTCTGAAAAAATTAAATTAGTCTAACTCAAAAGTGTCTTTGAAAAAGTAACAATGAGGAATTGGTCGATGCCATTTTTGATTAGTATTTGCATTGTCGTTTTTGTTGTATCGGATGATGTATCCGATATGTGGAGAAACGTGTTACTTGGCCAATTGCCGCTAACCGAGTTGTTTAAGAATCACACACAGGACAAGAATTGTACGAGCATCATAAAACATATACTCTCACTTAATGATAATAAAACAAGTGACATGATTCGATACATATTCCCTATATCAAAAAGTATTATCTCGCCAAGTTTCACAGTGTTCAAAAAACCTTGTCCTCCAAATCAGAAAAGAAATCGTTTGGGAGACTGCAAAGAAGTCTTGTGAGTTTTCTGTTAATTTTTTATACGTGAGACAAATTTTAAGTTCATTTTCTTTGGTCACGTTCACAAAAAGTATAAAAATATACGAACGTTCGCAGTCTATTCATCTATTCGACTATCGTGACTATATTGGTGATGTTCGATTGATATGAAATCGATTGATATAAAAAATTTTCTACGTACTTAATAGTTAAAACTATTATAGACTATTTTTGTATTACGTGCACAATCACTGTGTACAATTTCATATTTTTAAATTTTCTATGCAGTCATAAACATCCACAGTCTACTAATTATTATTCACGCTAGATGTGCTTAATCTTATTATACCAACTTTTTCTCTTTCTAATTTCAGGAAATATCCATACGTAAATTAAGATTTAACTATTGGAATGAGATCTCGTGAAAATTACTGAAACGTTTATTAAGCTTTCTTCCTCTCTTTTTATTATCATAAATCGGTTTAAAAAGAAATCGATTTCAAAATTAAGGCAAGCAAATTTCCTGAAAAACAGCGATATATATTTGAAACACAAAGTTCAATTTCTATACAAATGTTTCTATACAGAGGAGACAGAAAAGCTCGAGAAATAATGCTTTTTATAAAAACTGATGAATTGTCAATGAAATAAAACAATTATATAAAAATCAACACTTTATTTTCCCTTCGTCGTATATTCTGCTTTCAATAACTCAGAAATATTCTCAATTTTTGTAGTTTCCCTCGAAGTGATACGATTGTCTAGAATTTTTATTAATAAAATACCAAAAAAAAAAGAAAAACTGTTGGAACTGTATTGTTATAGCAAAGCTGACGTGTTTACTTGAAAAAGAAGAAAATAGAACGATTCAGAAGCTAAAAACTTCGGTAAAAAAAAAACCTTTATTTGCGAAAGTTAACAATTTCATTCGATCTCTGACCTAGATTGATATCTCCGCCGGACTGAAGGATCGTGGCAGTTGCGCTGACGTAATGAGACGAGATAAGACGAGATTTTTCAAAATACCGGCAGTACGAGAATCGGCCACGATATCAGCATTATTTATTCGCCGATATGTTTGATCGATGTTTTCATTCTTGCGTTATTACCCGGTGCTCATCGATTTTCAACTTTCGGTCTTTATCTCGTGGAACGATATAATATCGAGCGATCCAATCTCCCTCTCCCTCTCTCTCTCTCTCCGCTTGTGTCAGACCGATTTATCGTTCGCGGGATTTTCGAAATTCACCGTGATTCATAAAGTAATATTTCGCCTTTCGAACTATCGCGTTACGCTTTTACCCTCGTCGAAGGTCAACGATATATCACGGAGCAACGTTTTCTTACTTCTCCCGGCTCGGATAAATGGTCCCCGTGTTTTATACCGAAACCATGCGCAACGCCCCGGCTATAAATTAAATCCATCCGTGTTTCATAACGTAATATCACGTTGGTTTCACTTCTCGAATCTCGCTGTGCACGCACAAAATGTCGAGATAAACGTCCCTCAGAGGCGTAATTTACAGTGATTCGCGAAAATATTCCAACCTATTTGCAATTGCTTACGAAAGTGTTCGAGCAGTTACGGGGACATTTTGTGAACCCGTGTGATATGAAACATTTTGAAATTTCGCTGGCACTGTAATGACACCCAACTACTATGATTATATTTGTAATAATAATAATAATAATGTAATTATCGTAAGGTGTGTGTGTGTGTGTATTTCTAGATTTGTTTCAAATTTGACCAATATAATCATTGTAATAGGGTGTGTATGTGTGTGTATATATATATTTCTAAATTTGTTTCAAATTTGACCAATATAATTATCGTAGTTGTGTGTACATATATATATATATAAATTACAAGGTAAATTTGATACAAGTAGAGTTGCCCGTAAAAGTATCCGAAACCTCAGTGTATGAACTTTTCACGAATGTACGCGTGATTTTGAAATTTCGCGATGAAATCCAACCATCGTGATTATGTTGATCAAGTTTGAAATAAATATAAAAACATATAGTTGCCGGCGAAAGTATTCGAACTCGTGCAGAGACTTCTTTCGAATATTTCGAGGCAGTCAGTAAACTATGAAACCGTAAAAAGTACAAACGTAGAGGAACATCGGGTTTGTAAGTAAAATGTTAAAAATCGCGATGAACGATGCATGTTAAGATGTTACCAACCGATCGATTGTATTTTTGATCCCGAAAGTTGGATGGAAGTGTTTTACTCACCGATGTATAAAATCCCATCGAGATCGAGATTCTCGTTGCTTCCCTGGCTATTGACAGCTGTCACGTGATCATCGACAGCGAGCGTGTGCCGTTTAGGTGCTGGCCTTCCGATGCTGACTGCGTGCCATTTTCCATCGTTCAGCCTAGACCTCGATGTGTCCCTGACCCTGACCGGGCCGTCGCCCAGATCGAACACGTAATGAATGTGTCCGTTTACCAACTCCACCGCGATGAAGTCGCGTTCGCGACCGGCGTTGTACAGGATCAGGCCGTTCGCTTCGCGCGTTTTGAACTGCAAGATAAAGGAACGACGAGTTAGACGTGACTTGCACGAAGATGTACGTAGATTTTCTACTCGACTGAGTCTGTATTGAATCAAAAATTAGTATATAACAGTTAACAACCATTTCGTATCTCCACTGTAAATTCACTGACGAGTCAATCCATCTTTTTCGATTAACAAGTTTCAGTGTACTTCGTCGTTCAACGTTACATTTTCCGTTCTGATAAATATTTGAAATTTGACAGATATACGCGAGACATTTCCTGACTCCACATAACAGTAACACATTACGGCAAATTTTAAATTCAACTCGGACGAATTGGCACGTTTACTTTGGTTAACAGGGTTCATTTACAACCATTCCGCGTCTCGTCGTCCAACAGTGACCTTCGATCACAAAAAACCGATCGCACCCTTTTCAGAAGCGTCGAAGACAGTTCAAACTATGATTAGAGATGAACAAGCGAGCCGGAAGTTCTACAGAAGGGGCAGTGGAAAAAGCAGAAACCCGTCAATTACCGGGCCGGCGTAATTACGAAGGTGACGGCCAGAGAACCTTGTCTGTCACTTGGCACGGAAGAAACGGGACATGATTGGGTTTTTATGTGCGCCACCGTGACACGTGCCACGATTAATCCAGAGTTTGTGCATCGAGTCGCGAGCACCGAGTTCCGAGGGCCGATGGTAGGGGGATCTAATTGGGCTAACCTTTTGTGGGGAGCGCGTCACCGTTGACATTTCATTTCCTCTGCGACCTCCGCGCGGGACGTGAATTTTCCAACACGGACCGAACTACCTTTGCGAAATATTTAAACCGTCCTTCATAGGATGACGCTTCCTCGTCATGATTCGAGATTCACGTGAGCAGAACGGGGTTATTTCAGTCACTCGAGCTTCGACATTTTTCGAACTTTCTCGCTCATCCCTTTACTTTATTTTCAGTTTCCCCTCGAAACGATGATTCTTTTACGAGCTTTTCTAGAAAATGTTTTCCCTCGGTCAAAAATTCCGAGAACTCGAGACAATGTTCTGAAATTGAGTCACGAACTTTGTCAAGGTTCGTATGAAACAACGAGGAAATAAATATGCATTTCGGAAAAATTATTCCAATAACTCTATAGTAGGATGATATGCACATGCTGTTGAATCGCAACTGGTAAAATAACAATTTATCTTTTACGTCAAACAATTTTTGTTCGGAAGTTTGTCTGTTCTAATCTATCGCTAGAAAAAGAAAGACTCGAAGCTTCTTTCTATTCGATTTAATATAAACAAAATTCCGTTTCAAAAAAAAAAAAAAAAAAAAATGAATGTTCACTAGGCGAAGTGACACAAATAGAAAATTCGATTATCAAAATCTCAAATCTCTGTACACTTTTGTAAAAGTACATCGTTTCTCAAGCACTTTCCCCTCCCCAGAAAAAGGGGGAAAGCAAGAGAGGAGAAAAACAAAAAAATCACAAAAAAAAGACGTGAGAATCTGTTGACAAAAATGTTACCTGGAAATAGATATTCGTTTCCACGTACGCTTTCAACACCGGTAGTCCGACGAACGTGTGCTTTGAGGTAAAAGTCACCGGATAATGGACTGGATGGTTCCTTTTGCCGAATTTCCCTGTAACCCTGATGATCGGTGTTACACCTTGATGGGAGGCTTGATGATTGCCGGAACTCCGCGCTATTTCCAGGTATGGATAGCCATTGAACCAGATTTGTTGGAGCTGACCGACGAAATGCGGGATTTCCTCGCCGGCGTGCAAGTAACCACCGACGTGAAGCGTTCGGAATTCCAAAATGCTTTGCTTGCCAAGCTGCGTTTCCGCTGTCAAAGAGAACAAAGGATTTTTCCTTTTCAGAATTCATTGAAACTTATGGGACATTCATAGATATCTTTTATTAATTGTAACTAACGCGTTCGTAAATATCTTTCATTAAAGTAGTTTACTGTTACAATAAACACTAATCAATTTATATATTACATTTTCTATTTACTTCTGTAATATAAATCACAACCATAAAGATGAGATCAATCAATTGTGCGCTCGATTTTAGGATTAAATATATCTATTTCTATCACACTCTTGGTCAATTATATAATACAACTGTTTTACAAAACATCTTCGAATTCGTCACTTCGTTTTCGTCGTTTTCAATTAGTTCGTATGAATATTTCGTTCTTTAATCAACAAGCGAAATGACGATAAAACTCGAGCAGCTATCAACGATTTTCAATCGTTTCATAAATTTCTGTACATTCGACGTTCCCTTTGTAGGAGGTGCAATTTGTCACTTTGACTTTTCCTCGAGGAAAAAACTGTCAAAGTCCTTAAACACCGGCTACGTTAAATAAGAAGAGGGACTCGAGATTAAGAGAAAGTCATTAATAAGAATCTAGCCTTGCAACCGGTGAAGAGTGTACTCGCGAAAGTCGAACGAAACTTAGGCTGAAAGTTACACGGGAACTATTTTAATTATTAGCCGGGGCCTGGGATTGTCTCTTATCCAGGGACAATGAAAACTCGATATCAGCGCATTGTTCTTTGCGACCATCTTACCGGACCGACTCGAGGCCATTAAGGTTAATTGTCTTCCGGCACAATGCACTGAACTTTGTAAATTAGTAGTGCGATGTAAGTATCGACAGCCGTTGCTAATAAATCTGGCAAAGTTGCCTTCAAACGTTGCTCGTGCCAACGGAGATTGCTCGATTTACAAAATTTCACGCAGTCATTCGTATCAGAATTAGTTGAAAATGACAGTTCGAAATAAAAAAAAAAACTTACTTTAACTATTTTATTGAGTCTGTTCTAAGAGAAATTTGTATCAATCGAAATATATATCTGATCGATGATTACAGCTAAAAATAATTTCACTTTTCACAATCAAAAATATATATGACTTTGTCATTGGATAAGAAAATGATGCACAATTCGATATAACGAATCATTTTAACTAGTTCATTATTCAAATCTAAATATTTTAAAATGATTTATTTTAAGTCACCTCCTCCCCTGTGCGTTCCACTGCGAAAATAACAAAATAAAATCGAAACAAATATTGCTCGAATAAAATCAAAACAAATTCCACATTTCACACGTGGAACACCTGATCTCGTGAACTTATTCGAACTCGAGAATCAAGACCGAAATGAGACACACGTTTGAAACGCCTTCCGTCGTTAAACCATCCCCTTAATCGACCGATCCACAGAATCGAAGTATGTGTATACGTTGACAAGCAGTAAACAGGGCACAGCTCATATTCGAAATTACAATGCCAGGCAGCTCTGGCTGTGATCTGTTAAGGGTTGCCTTGACTAACGACCGATGCCGACTCGATCGTGGCCCGATCGACTGGTTTAATTGAATCGTAAATTGACATCAAACAACCGATCCGCGGAAATTCGTGGAATGCCCATAGACTTATATACCCGTAGATTGCCCCTTCTTAGATCGATTTCACACGAAGATACACGTATTCACTGAATATACGCGTATATCACTGGATATATAGAATACAGAATATTTAATATATATATATATAATATACAGAATTGCAAATTTGATTCCGAGTACGCATTCTGAGAATTTTTTCGTCACTTTCGTGTGAATTGATCTTTGCAAAAATCGGCTCTTGGATACTGAAAGGATTATTAAGAGTCTAGATTCCTTTATATTAGCTTCCTTTAGGTTCTCTTTTTCTGGCGATTATGACGATCTTGATCGTCATTGGCCCGTCGAACAAAAAAAAAAAAAAAAAAAAAAAACAAAAACACGTGTACACGCATAGTACAGTATTTTTTTGGGGGGGTGGGAGGGGGGATGTTGGCTGAAATTTCGTGCAACTTACATGCGCCGCTGGCGAATTTCGCCAGGCACCGACCGATTGCACCGAGTTATGTACGTAACTGCCGCTGCGGGGCGAGAATTTGGTTATAACTCGGAGAATGCTTATCGTTTGATCGAATCGAAACTGAAACAACTTGGAAATTACTCGAGAATTGAATTCGTACTGCTGCGGCGGGGATGGCCGCCTGTTCGGTGTTCGAAAATTGCCGACGAAGATAGTCGTGCAATTATGCAGACGAAGGGAGTTACATCGATCGGCGATTTACACCGACTTATGAAAGTTATTATATTTCGATTTATCACAGAAGTTATGTAATATTTTATAGAAGATGCACGATCATCACGAGTCTACGTAAAAAATCTGTCAAATTTCAAGTTGGTATTTAACTTTCAAATAGCATTGCTGCAGCAATTTGTGTTAGATTATCTAATTATAGGGCGTTTGACTTTATTCTGTGCATTTTACAATACAATTGAGTCGAATTGAAAATTCTAAAATCAACTGAGTAATTTAATTTTACGTTGTAATTCGTTTCCAACGGCTCGACGATCTTGTTTAAGAATTAAAATGGAAAAAGAAGAATTTTGCAGATTTCGTGAATTTTAATTAATTTGACAGTTACAAATTACTCCATAAATTGAAAACAAGATCTTAAGGAAATCTATGTGCAATTACCATGCGTAAAGTGATAATTATAAATAATCGTAAGAATAAAATTATAATATAAAATTGTAATATGATATAATATAATGATATTATATGTAGTGTAATGTAAAATTATAAAATTATATTTAACATGAATTTTAACATACTCATAATGTACAGATAAAAAATATTGCCATTCTTTCAAAATTTCAGTGCTTACAAAATGTTTTAAATACCTGTCTTTTTTTAAATATTTGAAATTCAGAGATGCATGTCGTTTATCACGACTGACTATATATACTGCATGTGTAATGAGTTGACAGTTCTTTTTTTTCTGCATTTTTAGGATTTTTATGCATAGTAGGATTTTTATGCATTTGGAAACATAAAATGTGCCATAAACCGCATACTTATACTTCGTCCGTGTTCCTTTAATATCGCTGCTACGATATTACGAGAATTCCCTTCAAGATTAAAAATCGTTCTAATCTTTTTATTTAGAACGCCCGATGAAGTCCCAAAGAATTCCAATATAATGTCTCTAAACGATAATTAAGCCGACATTTTTCTTCAAAGTAGATACCTTGTCATAATCTATGAACGTTCAAGAATATTAGCTTCCTTTTGTATACCTTTTTTAATAATAAAAATATTTTTTAATATCCGTAGAGGATAATATGCATTTTAAACTTTCATTTCTCTTACGAGATTAATTCTAAAATAGGCAATAATTAGACTACTTTTGCGCATTTCGAAGGAATTTAAAGGAAATTTCAAGAGAATAACGTAGAACAAGATGTAATCCATCGTAAGACAATATGCAAGACGTAAGAATTTATAAAATATGCAAAATAAAGTACCCATTTAATAAACGAAAAATTATGATATTATGATAAATGAAATAAATCTCTATTTGTTAATGTTATTGAAATGTTGGACTGATCGGAACTTTTGAAATGATAATTTTACTTGATTAATTCTTTTCGTCTTTCAGTCGTCGACTATCCAGGAAGCTATTAAACTTCTCCAGTCAAAGTAAATGCAATCCACACCGTACGAAACTAAAATTATCCTTCGAGATGAACCAGAATTTGTATCTCGGTTAATGAAGTAATCTGCGGCGTTCAAAGAACGTTGACTGGGAAGTTTTAGAAGATGCATATATATATATATATTTCGTTTCGACTATCTCAAAGTCGGAGATCTATCTATCCAACATTATTAAACGCGTTCCACATATTCCAACTTGTATCGCGTTGATCCTTTCCATTTTGGCCCTTTAATTAGATTTTGTAGGATTAATCTTTGCAAAAGTGACAAATGAAAGCAATTTGGTTTCTCGTATTTTGCAATAATTAATTACGATTTGAAAATTGTTGAAAAAAATTTAAGACGAATCAGATAGTTTATTAAATATTCATGAGGCGAGTTTAACAGTCTGAATCTGATTTATCATTTGCTTTATAAATATTAAAATTGACTAAAATCGGGGACGGAGGATGAATGCAATTCATAAGATTTCGATGACTTTAAATATATACAGTGAATCTAAATAGAATTATTGATCTAAATTATTACCCTAACCGTTAGCAACGTTAAATAAATTCTAGTTTCGTGTAGAATTCTACAGAATTTAACATTCCAAACTTGTCAGACTCACTTTCTCTCCCTCCAAATATTCTAACACTTATAAAAAAGAAAAAAGATTTATTGTAACAGCTGGCATCTTTCATTATTTTTATAATAAAAATAAAAATCGTGAGATTTGAAAGAGAAGAACCCTCGAGACATCGATTGTTTCATCGGTATATCTTCTTCGATGCAGGTGAATATCGAAAATGAAATTAGCCGAAGACGAGGATCTTTGTCAGTTATAGTTTCTCGTAGATAATAACCGAAGGATGTCATGCACTCAACAACGTAGTAATTATCGTACGATCGATGCCCAGCGACCAAGTGAAGACCGTGCGGAGGTTATGGCGATGCTGGTCGGTCAAGCAATTTGGGGTATTGCCACGTAACTCAATATTGCTGGTACTCGCCATCCATTTAATAGGCTGATCTGGCGAGCGAACGTAGGTTTGGGTGTTCCGCTTTATTGAAGGGCCATGATGCTTTCCAACGAACGTGCTTCCACTTGACAATAGCCAAAGGCTCCGTTTTAGACGCTACTTTATAGTACGCAGCCTTTACAACCCGTTTGGTACCTCCACCTGTCCCAGTTTCTAAGTTGCTGTGTTCTGTGTTGAACGTTTGGCATTTCGACTCTTCTAACTGATATTAACTCGGAGGGGAGTTAATGTCAGATAATTTTATGTAATTATATGG